AAGCCCTTCAATTTAGTGAAGAGGAAGAAAGTGCTGAGTGGTTGCGATGAAGCGCGTTGGTGTCGGCCAAATGTTGTAAAGGATCGTGATCGGATTTTCCGGGAAATACCGATTGGAGCTTATGGCCATTAAGGACAGGTAAGTAGTTGGTCCATCAATGTAAGATAAATTATTAAACATATAAAGTATCCGTTCGATTTTGGCAACACGTTCTCAGTATATTTAAACTGCTTGTGCTCTGCAGTTATATTATTAAATTCTGTTTAATAATTTTCTTAGATTTTCAGTAAAATTGTGGAGCTTTAAACGTCACCTGCAGGCCTGTTCTGCGAGTAGTATGGCTCTCTGTCGCTAGTAGATGGTCGCCTCGTGTGAGGTGACTCTTCATTTGATTGCACGGAGAATCACCCCACTAGTGCGTGACTTTTGTTGACTCATTGGTGGTGGAGATTCGCACGACTCGCGGAATAGGACAGATGATAAGATTTGCATTTATTAAAGATTTTGAAAAGCTAAGAAGCCAAATTGTGTTGACAAAATCTAACGGGTAATGCCGATATAAATATATATATATATACACACATTAAATGCAAAGGGGAGGGATGGGACCACCAGGGCACCGGATTGAAGCGATTTGGATGGGGAGAGTGGAATTGCCAACTCCCTGTCATTAACATTTCGTGAATTGACGGCGGGCTCTTCTCCCCACTCATTGGGACGTTCCCTCGTATGATGGCTTGTTCTACATCGGGTTGTAGGATTTTATCATTGGAAGGCGGTTCTCCTGATCCCGCGGATTGCGCGTAAGTGTATCTGCTTACGGGTCCGCCCCTCCGTTTTTGGCCCTTCTTACAATGGTAAATTGAATACAACCAGGTATCGTACTTGATCAAGTCATACTTGGAGGATGATCCACTGTCTAATGGCTGTGCCTTGCAGCAATGAGTGGTATCCTTTACATACATACATACATACATACATACATAAAAAGTGCTGGAAACAACCACCGTCTGACAGAATGTTTTGTTTAAATATTTTCAATTAGCCTTGAAATTTATTTTGCTTTCTAGGGATTGATGATCTTCGAAGTTTTTCGTAATGTGGTGGTGTGATTTCAAGACCAAAGAAGTTGGAATTTGACCTAATATTATGAGAAGATTATTTAAGCTCATGAAAATTAATACTCAACCTCTCAAAATCGATGTAAGAGGCTTCTTGTTCTGTGAAATTAGTTTCTGGTATGAGGAAATTCAACATTACTAATTATTTATAATTGAGGTTGATTAAATGTACAAGCATCCATAATGGAAGATCGATATAAATCCTCGAGATAAAGTCAGAGTAATCGTCAACTGTCTTTCTAGTTCCGTTGTTTCCCTGATACTCTTAGTTAGTTGAAAATTGTGATCAGAAACTGGTTAAATTTTCATCGCCTGGTGTTGTTGTGATGATTCACATTTAGCACAAATGGAACATTGACGAATGCGGTCTTTTATGTAGCTGTTCATCCCAGATCACAATAGATTAGTTTTGGTCAACTTCATAGTTGATTCTATTCCGACACTTACATGAGTGATCGTCGAAGGGATGCAGGAATCCTTCCATTTGGGATGACTGTAGTCCTCCCTGAGATGGTCTGGAATCTCCCTGGAATTGTGCGGAATCCTTCCTGCGATTGTTTGTGGGATACTCTCTGGGGTGTCATGAATGCCCCTCAATTTTTACTTAAATCGTCCTTGTGACTGTATAGAATCCCTGTTGGGTTTGCCCGCAGTCCCCTCTGATATTGTCCGGAAGCCGTACTGAGAGTGTATGAAATCTTTTCTGATAATTATCTGGAATCATCCCTAGGCTAGTTCGGAGGGGAGATTATCATATATCCCCTTTCCGATTGACTGGAATCCTTCCAGAGATTGTCCGAAGTATTCTAGGGATTGTCCAGAATCCCTTTGGTACTGTCCTGAATCCTTCTTGTGATTGTCCATCAGAATCTACGCTCTAAGGGGGTAATGATTTTGTGGCAAACAATGCATTAGGTATAGGAAAAACGTCACGAAAGAGGGAAGTGGGGGGGGGGGGGTAATTTTTCCTCAATTTAGCGTGACATAATAAATGGATCGCCCCTTATGTGGTTGCTAATATTTCGCAGCCTGCTATACGAAAGTGCAATTTCCTTTCCATTGCCGAAATATCTTCACGGTTAAGCTTTAGTTTGAAAAGGGCACCGCTTAAAATGTTGAAATACGTATTACAAAATAACAAATGCAATTACGCCTCTAATGTTGCCACTGAATTATCTTTACTTGACAGCATCGGTTTCAGCACAACAACTGATGAAGTCTGCAAGTAGTAGACGAAATACGCGTATCCGTCAAAAGATAAGCAATTATAACGGAATTAAAAGGAAATAAACCAACACACTCAAAGCTCTTCATAAAGGGATTCCATTAAGAGGTTCGACAAATTTAAAAGACTGAACAAAATTAAGATTTAAAACTTCGAAAAAACTAGAATCTCAGTTATAAAAGAATCACGAAAAATCAGACTATAATTTGAGTTTCTTCAAATTCTTAAGATAGGTACCTACCGGATTTCAAATGTCCAGATTCTAATGTTTGATGAAAATAGAAAATTGTAAAGCATTTAACTAGATTTTTTTCGACACCTCGGGCTAACTAACTTTCAAGATCACGGAATTATATTTAAATCAAGAATAAAGTCCCAAATTTAACTTTAATTCCAATCGAAAGGAATGAACTCCAAACTTGTATAATTGTGTTCCTGTTTTTGAACTAGATACTAATTGAATTTCTTTCTACAAGTGCTTATTGGGTTATTTTTTAAAGTTTAAAATGGAGATAGTTTTGGTTGAACTCATTCGGTGCCAATTTATTATTTACTCCTACTTTATACGGATAAGAGCTTGTTTTTTTTTTATCCATGTTCAATGTTCTAAACCATTCACACTATCCTGTAGTGTTTATTTTTGAAAAAAAAAATAGCTAAATCACCAGTCTTCCCTCTAGAAAATGTACAAAAATCTAGATTCATCATTCACGATTCCATCAGTTTTTATTAGCTGGTGTACTTTTGAATACTTTTGGGTCAACCTGCAGTCTTGAAAGAATATATGAGAGACTTCATTTGTATTTTCTAACATTTGATCAGATCTTGATCAACCAGAAGTCTTGAAAAGTTATCCAGAGAACTTTACTAATATCACAGACAAACAGACATAACACATTGAATATTTCTCACTGTAAAACATCGTCGCAAAAACATTACCGCCATCTGTTGAGTACACTGTGGTGGGTAGTACGCTGAACAGATGGCGGTAGTGTGTAAACGTCAAACGCAAGGGAATTGACTATGCGCGCCACAGGTGGCTGTACTACCAACTACGATACTTTTAAATTGACCGTTAAATGCTTGTTCGATGAACAACTTGCGAGTGTTATGTCTGTTTGTCTGTGCTAATATCTTCGACTATCTGGAGATCTTTTGATTAATACCTGCTGTTTAGGAAGGATGTCTAAAAGAATATCCTGCAATCTATGCAACGTTCCCTCAACATCTACAAAACTTCAATAGGTTTTACAAATTTCCTCAACTTCTTCGGAGTTCCCTGAATTTATTCCAAATTCTACATTTTTCTATCTCTCTTAATTCTACAATTAATTCTGGAAAGACCACCATCATCTACAAATATTCTTGAACATCTGGAAAGTTCCTCAAAATTTAACGAAGTTCCCGAAACTTCCAAGAAGTTCATTAAGTTTTTTTTTAAGTAAAAGCTCTGACAAACTGCAACGAAGTTCCCCAAACTGAAGCGAGGATTCCTGAAGATCTTAGAAGTATGCTGAACTTTTTTAAGATCTTCTACAAAGTTCCCTGCACTTATAGTTATAGTCAGTTATAGTTTCATGCAGCTTCTCAAAATGCTACGAAATTCGCAAAACTTCTACAAAGTTTGCTGCACTTTCCAAAGCTCCCTGAGTTTCTTCGAACTTTTTCTGAAGCTCTATGAAGTTCCCAGAATTTCTACTAAGTTTCGTTAATTTCTACGATCTTCCCTGAACTTCTTAGAAGTCCTTGAAGTTTTATGAAGTTCCCTTAGGTTAAAGAAAAATCCCTGAACTCTTGGCCAATTTGTAGAGCCTAGAGACGTCTTATTATGCTATCACTTAAATGTCGATTTTGCATAAATTCTCGACTTTTTTACTAGTCTTTTAGACATTCATAAAAATCAATAAACATATAAAGTAGTCTTGTAACTGGTGTATAAAACAACACTCAAAATTCCTGAGAGGGGAGGACTGGACATTTCTGGAGGAAACATGGCCCCCTTGGCACCCCCCTTAGCTACGCCAATGCAACCTGAGTGCCATCCGCAACAACAACAAAATCAACTGTCACAATTTTGTTTTCGTTGTTTTACAAAATCATAGCCGCCTATAGAACAATGCTAAAACGGTAACCGCCTAATATCAATCCGAGGGGTGGATCATTTAAATTATGGCCAGTGTAAATAACTGGACAGAAAACAAAAAACCACGTGTTGCAAAAAAAACTGTATAGGTGAATTCATAGTCTCCTTATATTGATTATCACGAATAACTAGTATTTTTAAATTGCTATTGTGCATTAGACCTATTTGTGGTAATTGAAATATGTAATTAAAGTCGAAACAGCATTTTTTTACATAAAATAATGGCCCCCAAAATGGCCGCATCAAAACGTCACGCATATTCAAACCGACGACCACTAACAGAAAGCTCATTTTTATTGTCCCACAAAATTCGTCATGTCGGTCGCCGCGCGATGAAAGCTTTTCTTTTGGGCTGTATGAGCAAGCTTTCCACCCTCAAACGACGACGTCACTTCGAAATTCCGTCTTAGCAGCAGGTCTCCGCGCACTGAGTGCCCGCGCGGTCGCGAACGAATGAAACCTTTAAAAGCGCAGCGCAACTTCGGTTGGTGGATTAGTTCAAGAGTGGAAACCGTCCAAGCGTATATAGCAAAACAAAAGCTGAGGAGAGCTTCTCTCGCGTGTGCTCATTTGGACCGAAAGGAAGGATTAGCTGCACAAGTTCTTGTTACAACAGTTGTTGCCGAGCACTCGACCAAGTGACCATATCAAGGATTATAAGATGCTAGAAGTCCATCTGTGTAGCCGAGAATCGTCGGTCGTCGTGGTCGTTGTATGTCGATGAAGAGTGGATTAGATAACATATATAGTTTTTTTCTTCTCAAGCATCAAGTGGTTCCTCGTGATATAGAAAAGTGACAAGACTTCCATAAACCGTTGCGGTTTGCATTAGACAAAGTTGAATAAACTTTATAGAAGAAGGAGGAAAACAAAGTGTAAAAAGAGGACTAGGTATCTTTCTCGAACAGTTAACAAAACTCGTCCTGAGACAGCAATATTCGAATCTGTTCCGTAATTTCTCAAGTTGATAGCAGAAAGACCTCAAAACAATCCGTGTTGGTGACTATGAAAGATTTGAAAGACCTGTCGGCACTTCAGTTAAAATCTCACCAGGCGATCAAAAGCAGCAAACGCACCAAATGGAATGTGCCCATCTCTGACTTTGCCCGGCTCACCCACAATCCGATCCGAGCCATCGTCGAAGGTTTGAAGATCGTGCCGAATCCGGACAAACAACTGATTGCGCTTTCGATCGGTAAGTAGCAGCCAATATAAATAGCAAGTAAGCGAGCAAGTCAAACAGGCTGCCGGCCTCAAAGTCGTTGTTTTTGTGGGCAACGATTCCAGAAGACCGTAGAAATATTCCACACTACTGCTGCTGACCGGTTTTTATCGATAATAATAATAATATTTCGATGTAGGTAAAGGCAAATGAGGCGCACACTCTGCTGGCGTCGGTTTGGATGATGAGACGAGGACGGTGGTTTTCGGTATTCGATTTCGATTGACTTTTCACATGGGCGAGAGGACGATCCGACCAAGGCTGCTCTCGGGTGGCTGAAGTTGATTGGTGTGCTGCTTAAAAAGAGCTGGAAAATTTCTGGACGCACATTTCTGTTCTGCTGGCTGTTAAAAATAGTCAGGAATGGGCTAGGAAGTCAATAGGCTAGTACTCGCACGCGAGTATCGAGTATTATTTTGAATTGATTTCTTCTACACACACTTAATCACGGCTTCCCTGTTCGGTAATTTTTTGTACAGTTTTCGAACTGTAAATCACAAAAAATACCCAACATTCAGTAATTCTGAATAAAACTACTGATGTTTAGAAGCTTTTGTGACAAACCAATGAATACGGTAATATCATGTACTGAATTTTCCGTAAAATAAATGCTTTACGGTGAATGACTAAAACTCAGTCATATAGAGTACCGAGTTTTCTGTATTCGTTATATTGTACTGAACAGTCATCAAACGAAACTCCAAAATTGCTGATCTCACCCAATAGGTCAACTTGCATGCGTCCGACTTGGGTCATTCTCCTCCGTTTCACACGTTTGACCTCGGAAATCCCTGTGATAACATTTGTGGAAATAAGTGAAACATTTCGAACGCAGGAGTGCAGAAACTGTATCGACTTCCAGGGGTTTTACTGATTTTGAAACAAACACATTCATTCAAAGCCTGTTGTAGAGCTCCAGACATGGACACACAATCCGGCACACCAACAGAGCCATCAACTGGTTGAATCGCCAGGAAGCATTTACCGCTCAACCTGGACTAGTTCAGGGTGAATTAAAATATAATCACTGCTACTCCGCCACTACACTCCAAATTCTGATATCCTCTTCCAGCAAAATGATTGGCTGAAGAAGGTCCAGCAAAATAATATTTACTGAAATAGGGTTTTTTTTTTATCTAATTTCCGTCCTACTAAGCACAACCCGCACTTAACCTCTCTTTTTCAATCGAATATGAGCGATTCTACCATAGATGACTTCTAAATTTATTTACCTTTCTATACGTATCGTTGGATTTTATAAAGAGTCACACATAATTGAGATATTGTTAGAAATCTAACATAGATTATTAATTTCATTGATTGAAAACAAGATCGATGGAAAACAAACCAAAGGGAAAAATGAGTGTCAATATGCATAAAACCGAGCATACAACGCGCTTTGTTTTGTAGCTTATGAGCTAACGCATAGAAAAAAAAACTTATTATTGGTGTGTGCAAGGTGAAATCATTGATATTATTGATGTTTTCTGTGCGAAATGGGCGAATACGACGAAGTAGCGCTCTACCCTATCAGCAAACATATTGTTTATTTCTGGACACCCAGTTATTGGAAACCAGCAAAAATGAACTGTCAAAAGGACTAGTAATTTTTTGTATTAGTTGCATGGTCTTTTGATAAATAAGCCTGGCAACGTATTCAGTGTTTGTGATGTTGGAGAATAGTTTATCTTGCGTAATTACTACGGTAAGATAAGGCGAAGAAATATTATACCAATAACACCACTTTTATTCACAGGTTGTTTAAAATATTCGCCAAGACGTTCCTGGAAGATTTGTAAACAAGGCAAGGCTTATGGAGATGGCTACATGTTCTTATGTGTTGTGGATTGATTTAACAATTAAAGTGGAAGATAGAGTTTTCCTACAGTTTTGTTATAATGTGACTATCCAAATACAAGGAAAAATCCTGAAAACAAAACTGAATTTTCAGCAAAATGTCCCGGATCTTCTTAGATAAAAACTGCTGGATTTTCAGCAAACTCTTGTCAAAAACCATTTGCTAGATTGTCATCAAAATTCACTTTGCTGGATGGATTGCTTTTGACAACATCGACATGAATCCGATCGTCAACTTGTCACTCCCAACATAGTTTACCTATTTTTGGGTAGGTTCAGTTTTGACAGATGTGGGTGGATTTTACCCAAATTTGGGTAGTTTTGAAAAAGCGTGTAGGCAAATTCATCCCGCTGCTTAAGAACCGTGTCTTGGCGAGATGGACCAGTCATGGTCTTAGCCTGTCTGAAAAGACAAATCCAAAGAAGAAAAAAAGTCCGTGTCTCGGTTTCAGCGAGCAAAACAAAACATACGAGGTGTCAAAATATCAGGTTGTCAAACATATAATTATTCACAAACAAACAACTGGCAGCAACTGACTTTCACTGTCGGCCCAGAGTCGATGTTATAATAAGAGTCCCGCCAAGAGAAAATGTTGTGCGAACAAGCAGCACTATTTGTATTTTATTTTTCGTCAGAGTAAACGGTAACCAGATTGTTTGTGTTAGCATCAGATGACTTTCATTCAGAAGTGAAAAATTCCATGTCGATAACGGAGCTTCTGAGCTTGAGCTTGAGCTTGAGCTTGAGCTTGATTGACCGCCCACGGTTGCTACTCTGTTACTGCCAGATCAGCTGTAATTACACAGAGAACCAATAGACGATGCTTGGGACTAGCAATCATCCTCAATGTGTAAAAACTGGTGATCTTAAATTAGGCAATACCAGCGCCGGCCGCGCCCGAACACAGGTCAAGAAAGGAATGGGAAGGATTGTGTTGACATGACACTCGCTTTGATGGAAGCCGAGAATACCTCTGCACTTCCACGAGGAATCACTGGGATGTTGGATAAGAGGGTTGGGATTGCAGCAGGGTTCGTTTTGGTAAACGATAAGCTGAATTGATGTCCTAACGATCATATAATGCGAAGGAGCTTGGGACTAAACCCACGGTCTTCTGCTCTCAGTAAGCAAAAACGTTTGCCACTAGGCAGACGAGCACCTTTTTAATCACCGAGTTGCTGTTATTACCATGTAGTCATATTAACAAATAAAACGATTGACGAATCTTGAATGTGGATGGGCCTGAGATTAGACTCATGATGTTCTGCTCAGTAAGGAAAAACGGTTGCTCTAAGGCCACCGAGCCCCTCATATCACATAATACCGTTGCTCAAATTTGTGTATCCATTCAAACCCGGAACCAACGACAACAACGAGTTTCGCAAAATACACGATACACAAGCGATTTTACCATAAATCTCTTTGATGTGTAATGACCTGGGACCGCGTTTTTCTGCTCAGTAAGCAGGCCACTGTAACCGACGATCTTTTAAATCCGAAAACTAAAAACTACGAAAAAGTACTTAGGCCTTCATTAAGTTCCACTTTCACGCGACGTTCAATGACAGGGTCCTATCCAGGATTACATCTGAAGAATCCAAATCTGGCCAACGCCCACCCTAAACCTAAACCTGTTCTAATCCACCTGAAATGACTAACGAATGGAAGACTTTGACTACCCAGCCATGCAATAGTCTCATTCCGTGCCTTATGGCAACTTGATGATTCTATGCGCTCATCTTTTGGCACCACCCAGGGGAGACTTGGTCCTGTACCCAATGCTTAACTTATCTCCATTCCACTCAGCTACTCGCAATTTCTTGTGATATAGTGGGCGGAATATTATTATATGAGACAATTCAATGCAGACGTCTTTCCAAATTTGGCAGATCGACAGGTAATCGGTGAGTTACCACGATAGTTGCTATTCAACAACTCGACAACGTCCCATCGTCAACGCCTGCTATGAGAATTTCCCATTGCAGACGCCAACGAAATGACGTCATCGAGCTATCGATCAACTACCCTGGTTATTGCCTGGTACCTTATATTTAGCACGATGCTAGGAGGCGAACCGGAAGAATCGATGAGCTACCTCTCCCCATACCTCTCTACATGTCGATAACGGAGCTTCTGGTAGACAAAAAACAATTATGGAACCTGAAAAATGTTCAAACAAGTGCTTGGTATAACTTATAAATACCACAATATATTAAATAATGCTATGAAAAGTTTTTCATCTAAAATTACTAAAATATTGTCATTAATGAATGCAATACTTGTAGTTCACTGGCTGTGAGAACAATAATGTTTATTAACTTTGCTTGTTTGGTACCCCGCTTGACAGTTCGATTGGTACTTCTGGCTTCACTCTTGGTGGGACTCTTATTATAACATTGACTCTGTGTCGGCCGAGCCATCGCCACTGCCGGCACACTTGAGAAAAAAGTTGTCGAAAAATGAATGTGTAGAGTGACCACCCCTTGCATTAGATGTAATAATTGTATTTTGTAATTACGAATTGAATCGCTTTCAGAGATTCACAATTAGTGATTTCATGATTCGTGAGCATTTAAACTCAAGATCAATGGTGGTAAAATTGAGTACCCATGAGTACATCGGCCATACCTGAGCATGTTCCGGATGCCCGGAGAAGTGGCAATGTTTTTGTTTGGGTCATACCCCAACACATTGTCACATGAAAATGCAAAGCTGTGAAGGTGGTCATATTGAATGTTTATGGTCCAGGACCACATTGGCCATATGTGGTCATGTTCCGGGTGCCCCCGGGGTAGCAACCAACATCTGACAAATGAGTCAAAATTCAGGGTTATGACAGCTGACGTTCGTTTTGCGCGTTTTTATAGCTCCACGGATTTTGCGGAAAGCTTATCAACGAAAATGAAACTATTTTTATAATTGTAGTTTTCAAGTATTAATTCACTTTTTATTCAAGTGATCATACCTGTGTATTTAAAATTTGTTGTTCAGCATCAAAATTGTGATGAATAATCGATTATCAGATTAATATTGTGAAGGAACATAATATTTAGAAGTAAATGTTAACAAATTGATGCGATTGAGTCTTATCAACTAAAATGATAAACAAAACTAA